CTCAGCGCGGAATGGGTCTGGGGCGGGTGTCAGTCGGGCCTCCTCCGCTGTGGGTGTGTGCGCTCGCGGTGGGAGGAGGGCGCGGTCCTGACTGCGGCCGGCTGCTCTCTCAAACGCGTTAAAAGCGCCTTTTAACAACAGTTTCATTACCCACCTAACCTGAGCCCCTTTAAGCCAAAGGCAAAGGAAGCTTCTCTGAACTGTGCGAGCTTCAGCTCTGCCATTTCACTATTCTGCTGCTGGTGCCCTGGCCTGAGGGCAGCACCGCACAGCTGCGGGTTCACGTACCAGGGCAGGCCCCAGTCTGGAGCCTTGGACCAGAGAAAATCCAACACTGAAGAAATGCCATTTTCTCTGCTGCCTTTTAAGAGATTAAGCAGAGCCAGGCGTGGTGGCGCACACCTGTATTCCCAGCATTTGGGAGGCTGAGGCAGGAGGACCACTGTGAGTTCGAGACCAGCCTGGGCTACATAGTGAATTCCAGGTCAGTCTTGACTACATAGTGAGACCCTGTCTCAAAAAAAAAAAAAAAAAAAAAAACAGTGAGAGAGAGAGAGAGAGAGAGAGAGAGAGAGAGAGACTAGGCAGAAATTATAGATTATTCAAATTTCCTATTGTTTGTTGAGCCATGCTTTTCTGTGTATAACTGCAGAGAGGAGAGACCGAGTGAGAGCATTTTAGCACTAGGAGGGTGCTCTGGGTGTGCTGCAGTAGCTCAGAAACCTGGAGCTACTTTCCTGTACCCTCCCAGGCCCCTCCCTGTTCTGTGCTAAGGCAATGCATTGGGGCTCTGCTTGACAACTTGGGCTCAGAAACTCCCTTCAGGGAGCTCTCTAATTGAACAGAAACTCGGGTATAAAAGGCAAAACTCTGAGCCTGGGGAAGACACTTGGGGGCCTCAAATGCCTTGAAGTTAAGTTGCTGCTAAAACTGCAAGTTCCTAGTAGGATAAAAAGAGCATTGAAATCATTGAAGGTCTGTTTTATTGGCAATTTAGGATGCAAAGTATTTTATTTTTAAACTTCTAAACTTTTTGTTGTTTTTGTTGTTGTCGTTTTGTTTTGAGACAGGGTCTCATTAAGTAGTTCAGGCTGGCCTTGAACTCATTATGTACTCCAGGTGTGATCCTCCTGTCTCAGCTTCCTGAGTGCTGGGATTACAGGCAGAATCCACCCATGCCTGGCCAAACTTCTAAACTTTGAAAACAAGATAGCCAAGTTAAAAAATATAGCGTTCCAAAAATGAGTGTGCTTATTTAGAGCTCAGTTTTTCTGCATGAAATATAAAAACCCCTCTCTAAAATTTCTAGATGGGAGTAGGACTATTCTGAAAGCCTGTGACTAGTTGAGCTGATCAGTCTCAGCTGGTAACATTCCTTTTTCACCTTGGTAAGAGCTTCAAAAAAAAGCTTCAGATGAATTGTTCTAGATTCTAGACACATACCGACAATTCCATTCCAGATGTCTCCTGCAAGGTGTTTGCCATATACAGGAATCCATCTTTATCCTTCTGGCTCTCGTACACTTCTGAGATCAGCACCCACACACTTGTCGTGCTGGGTCTGTTCACCAAGAGGAAGAAGGCTTGGTTAGCATGGAGCTGTAAGCGTCTCCTGACGATCTCGATGAGCTCACTCAAGTAGACAAGTCAGGAATGAGGGCCTCAGTAGTACCCAGGGTGGGCAGCTGCTTGTCGCCCTTGCGGCCTTCCGTGATCTCCAGGATCTTAGTGGGAGGCTGCGGCCAGATGAATCAGGAGCCTACGCTTTGTTCAGAGGTATGGCACTGCTCAGAGGTCTTCTCCGACAGCACCTGCTTGGCAGGAGGAGGTCCTGGGGGCCTCTGTGGCTCGGAGTCTCTCTCGGCACTTTCTGAACAGTTCTTGGAGTCTTCCTTTGTGAGCATCTTTAGCTGCACTCTTGGGGCTGCCTTGATGTCCTGAAATGATTTGAAAGATTATGTTTCGTGGTCATTTTGGCTTTGGGGATGAAACAGAAGTCGTGTGGCGTCAGACCCAGTGATTACATTGAAAGAGGACTGTAATTAGTTTTTATGTAATTAATTAGTTTTTATGACCCTCCTTTCCCATTGGATGGCATTCAGCAGCAACATCCACCATAGTTTTCAGAATTCCCACCTCATAAAGATCAGGAAAGAGGACTTCCAGAATTGCTTCAGAAAGTGTTGAGGATGGGAAAAGTGTTTTTGAAAAGGAGGAGTATTTGGGGGGGCATTAATGGCAATGTGTTGTTTACTGTAATAAAATTTTAAATTTAAATATTCACTGTATATTCTACTCACCTCTTTCATATGCCTGTTTAAAGAAAGTAGCCATTATAAAAATGCATAATTTAGAGAAATCTCCCTTACCTCTCCCCCCAGCTCTGCAGGTTAGCACTGCTGACAGAATGTGGGTTGAATATCCCTAATCCAAAAATGTGAAGCCTGGGATTTAGCTCAGTGGTCCCAATGCCCGCCTTGAAAGCTTGAGTTTGATTCCTAGTACCCAAAATAAAATATAGGCACACTAAAAAATATTGTATAAAGTTATCTTTAGGTTATGCGTATAAGGTGTATTAAACATAAGTGAATTTCCTATTTAGATCTGGGTCCTATTGCTAAGATATCACACTGGGCATGGTGGTGCACACCTGTAATCCCAGCACTCGCTCAGGAGGCTGAAGTAAGAGGATCACCACAAGTTCAAAGCCAGCATGGGCTACATAGTGAGTTCAAGGCCACCCTAAACTGCTTGGTAAAACACTGTCTAAAAAAAAAAAACAAGCTGGGAGTTACACGCCTGTAAACCCAGCACTCAGGAGGCTGTGAGACCCTGTCTCAAAAAATCAAAACAAAACAAAACCAAAACAAACAAACAAAAAACCACCTCATTATATATATACATGTATGCAAACACTCCAAAATCCAAAAACTCCCAAATCCCAAATTTCTCTGATCTAAGACATTGCGGCTAAAGCACACTCAGCCTCTACTGCCCTCCAGTTGCTTCTTTTCTGGGCCTCTCTGTGGGTTCACCTACATCCGTACATGGATTTGGGGGAGTGGAACATTTTGGTTCCAGAACATTCTATTTTCGAACAAATAGATCCTAGAGTGGTTAGTATTGTTTTTATTTATTTTTTACATCTGCAGGTGACTTCTTCTGGAAATAGGCCTTCCTGTAATGGTTCCTTGCCACTGTCCGCCGCGACTGTTTCTAAATTTCTTCTGTTTCTGCCCTTAGGAAATCCCTCCCTCACCCACACCGGCTCAGCCCAGCCCACCTTGCAGGGTGAGTGAGCAAGGGTATCTCATTGCCACGGAAGAGGCCACATTCTCTCTTGTACTGTTCTTCCTCTGCAAGCTGCTTCTCCGTGTCTCTTCTTGTGAGGAAGACTTTCTAGATGATGTATTCTGAGATGGATGCCACCCGGTCGGGCAGGCCTGGAGGGCCCCTTCAGGGCAGAGCTGTGGGTGCCTTGGGTAACTCTTGGGAGCAGCCTGTGGGCTCCTCCCCCAGACAGCTGGCTGGCTGCTGTTCACAGGGACAGCGGTGATGTGTGGTCACAGGACAGCAGGCATGACCTCCTGTGACCTCTGGGGTTCAGGAGTGTGAGCTGGGTTGGGAATGGAAAGTTTAGGGCCTGGCTTTGCAGCTAAGGGAGAGTGGAAAGATCTCCCCTAACCCAAGGCTCGACTCTCTCCTGTTTCTCAACCTGAACTGCACCCATTACAGCCCATGTCATGGTCCCCTGAGGATCAGGTTGCAATATTCAGACCAAACCTCCCCATAGACTGACCAGTAAGAACAACAAAAATCCCAAGGTACTCCGTCAGAAATGAAGGTTGAATGATTTTTATTGTAAGTGTATCACATGCAATATTTAGGATAGACTTATGCAAGTAGCAAAATTTTTATTCATTGTTTACCTGAAATTCACATTGAGCTGGAGAGCCTTACCTGCTGGCTGTGTGCACAGAGAACTGGCTGATTGTGTGACCAGAGCTTTTTTCTTCCCAGCTCTGAACCTCAGTTTCCGATCTATTGCTCCTACAGATCCCAGGGGTGCAGGGCACTAGGAGAGGCTCTTCTTTTCCTTTTTTGTTTTCAGTTTTTTTGAGACAGGGCCTCACTATGTAGTTGAGACTGACTCACTATGTAACCCAAGCTGGTCTCGAACTCACAGTGATCCTCCTGCCTCAGCCTCCCAAGTGCTGGGATTACAGGCCTGTGCCACCATGCCCAGCTTCTTCTTTTCATCTTTATTTACAAAAGTGTTTCATTACAAACCCCAAAAAGTCTAAAAATAAGATAATGAACATTCATGTCCTCATCAACCAGTTTAAAATTTAAAACAGAACCATGTTCCAGTACCTTCTCCTGCCATTTCCCCACTCCTCATTGAGCTGATTTTTAATTTTTAAATTTTTAAAATTGTTTATTTGCTTTTGTGGCACTGGAGCTTGAACCCAGTGCCTCACTGAAAGGGAACAGCAACGCTCAACAACTAGGCCACACACACCGAGAGGTCTGACTGGAGATTTTATTCAAGGAGTGGGAGTAGAGAGAGAGAGAGAGCAGAGAGAGAGAGAGGGAGGAAGAAAAAGAAGAAGAGAACAAAGAAAGGAAGGTCCTTTTATTAGTTTTGGGCTGGGCTATTGTTTATTCATGAGGAGTGGGCTACCTTTAACCTATCACAGGCCAGGTTGCCTTTTATGGGTCCAGTCCTGCAGAAACAGGTTTTAATTTCTCTGTCTCGCTGTGGCCTTGGTGGGAGGGAAACTAAAGATAAGAGCATGAGGTCATTTTAATAGCCAAGAAGCACCAGGAAAATGCAGCCTGTGATGGCGGCGTCACAAAATACTTTAACATGATCAATTCCCTAACACTCACCACTCTGGTTTAGACTAGAAACGGCGGCCAGTGCAAACCACACGCCAGGGGAAGGGGGCGACGTATCTGTCTTCTGTAATTACTTCCTGCTGAGTCTGGGGCGAACTTAGGGGCAGGCGTGGGGCCTGGCCGGCTGCGTTGTCCTTTATGAACATGGAATTATGACAGCAGTAGCATTTTTACTGGAATTGTTGGTGGGGCTTCCTGAGAAAAGTCCAAGCACACAAATCAGTTAATGAGGGAGGAGAGAGGGGTAAAGATAATTTGTATGAGGCTGTGGACTGGGTTGCAGGGTTACTAAGAACAAGTAAAAAGGTAAAGATTGTGACTTCAGTCGGGGTGAAGTCCGATAAAGTTCCTTGGAGCCACGCGTTGGTGACCCAGTTGGCTATGCGGGTAACAGGACGAGAGTGGGGAGTGAACCAGAAAATATCAGTCCAAAGATCATTTAGAAAATGTTCAAACCGAGCTGAGATCTGAGCTATGGTTGGTCGGTTGGCTGCCATGTAACACGGTGGTCTCGATGAGGTCTCCGGCCTGAAGTATCAGCTGATGGTGAGCTGTCTGTCGGGAGACTTGAGTGGAGAGGCGACTGACCTGGGATTGAATAAGATGGAGAACATAGGGGGCAACTGTATAGGTAGATATGGAAAGAGCAGCTGAAATCAGCTGTGGGCCAGTCTGAAGAGTGGCAGGAATTTGGTGATTTGGTCAAAGAACTGGCATAAGGTGGCCTGGAATGTGATTTCAGGAGATCATACCTGGGTCTGAAGGATGGCTGAGTTAGGCTGGGAGAGAGTCAAGGTACACACGGGGGTCTATCAGCTTGGGTGAGCTTTAGGAGGGCAAACAGGAGCAGGAGAGGAACCATTATTGTCTCCAGCAATTAAGAATGGCAAAGATTGAGATTATGAGGTAATAAGTCAATGAGAGTAAACACCTGGAAGTAAAATTATAATTGGGAGGAGATACTGTGGCCAATCCTATCCCAAGGACAAGTCCCAGGAGTACTAATATAAGAGGACTTAGGACATCAGTGGGTGCTGTGGTGTGAAATGGGTCACAATACCCCATGAGAGGATGAGAGGGTAAACAGTTAGGTTAGCTTATCTGACTCAGGACTGGATGGTGGCGAAGGATCCTGGGCAACCAGGTTTTCTGGAATCCAAGTAAGTTCAGAGGTCCCATGGAGGTGGCTGAATAGCGTAGATGAGGTCCTGTGGATATGACCGGGAGAGGAGCATGAAGATATGGTTTAACGCGAGTCATGGAACCATCCTGGAAGGCACTTAAATTTACAGCAGGGCTTTGAGTGCATTGTCTCCTGGAGTCAAAGTCCATGAAGTTCTCTGGATTGACCTGTTTTACTTTAGAGTGGTGGTAGCTGAATTTTAGTTATCTTGACAGCTGCGGGAGTAACTATAAGTGCCTTAAATATGGCTCTTTTCATATATAAAGTCTCTCAAGATACAGGGGGGCCTTCCAAACAAGACCTCATATGGGGAGAACCCAGTATAACTTGGGGTATCTCTTATTTTAAAGAAGGCCAAAGGGAGCCGATCAACACATAACCCAGTATTATTTGACAATATTTACCTTAATGGTACAATTTATCATTTTTTAACCTTGCAAGAACTCTGAGGTCAATAAATAGTACAACAGTTTAACTAGATCTTGTACAACCTGTTATAAATGCTGGCCCATTGTCACTGTCTATGGAGAGAGGCAGAGCAAACCTTGGAATTTTTAATAAAATCTTGTATACCTCTGAAGCCCTGTTTTATAGGGAAGGCTTCAGGCCCTCTAGGAAAAGTACAGACCCATGCTAACACATTTATAATCTTTACAGGGGGTGGGTGTCGTAATAAAGAGGAATATTTGGGAGGAGAATGGGCCTCAAAAGTCTATCACTAGTGCCTGTTTACTGACTGCCTCTTTTGGTTATTCTTTTCTGCTGGGTGTTTAAGACCAAATTAGAGTGAGACCTGCGTTAATCAATATGAACCTCTTGTTATCTGTCAAGGTCAGTTAAGTCTTTTTAGGCATTATTTTGGAACCATGTATAGGGCCTCTCAGCATCCAGTGTCATCTGTTAGGATGGGTCCCAGTCTTGCTTGACCATGGTGCTTTTAGTAAAAGCGGGAAGATTTTTTGATGACCCTCCTTTAGCACACGTTATATTTGTCCTCTGGTGTCCAGCAATTTCCGTGTTCAGGAGGTTGGGTGACTTACCAAAGATGTAGGATGTTGTAGAAAAGGTTCCTTCATACCTTGGATCTGTGATGACCTTGGAGGGCCAGAGCCAAAATATTGGCGATCTCCTTAGGCCGGTTACCTTTTAGTGTTGGTCTCTGCACTTTGGTGGCTGAACACCCAGAAGAGAAGATCAGTGACATCAGTAGTACAGTAGGAGTTTAACCATCATAACTATCTAGATAGCAAGTATCTTGGAATTTAAAATATAGTTAGAGGGCTGTTATCTTACCAATCATGGTTGTTGAAGTAGTTGACTCTTTGTAGAATATTAACAGAAAAACTTGTAATCAGGAGCCACACATAATGATAATATTTTAGCATGACAATCATGATGACATCTTGGTAACAAACTTAGATGTGTATCGTAGTATAGATCAGCCATTGTTAAATGTATTTATCTTTTTAAAAAATATATAAGGACAAAAACAAAAACCCAGGAAACTTATTTAAGTTATTACCTTTTGATACGGTACCATCTAAGGAAAGTGTATGGGCAAATGTACCTGTACAAATGTACAAATGTACATTGTACCTGTAACAAATGTACCTGTAACCATAAGTAGGTGGAGCAGAAGAGAAGGGAGAATACCTGGATCAAAAGGTCATTGTCATAAACAATACATTGGAAAACCTGTATGGTCAAACAGCATGAATACATTTTGTATACCAGAAAAGCAGCAATAATAATGATTATAATTATATGAAATCTTATGTCTTGTAACATAGCTTGGTATCAAAAGGATCTTTTCTTTTTTCTTTTTAATAACTCCTTGTTTTTTATACAGAAAATATTATATTTTGAAGATAACCATCATAAACGTGTTACAATAACATATTTAGAACTCAGCCCTTTGATGATAGCCAATGTAAACATTTTTAACAACATATTTAACAAGACGTATCTTTCTATAAGGCTATGAAAATTATTTGGGCTCCCATTAGTGGCTAAAGATCAGAATAAATTTTCTGAGCACCTGCTTCTTTATTTACCAATAGGAGTGTACCCAAACTTAAAAGTTTATATTTAATTATCTTTAAATTTGTATTTAACCTATAAAACCAGGGTATAGAAATCAACAATCTACTTGTATTTGATGTCATTTTGATAACATTTAGACAGACAAACATATAAGACAATTGAAACTAGAGTATACTCAGATGGTTTTGGCCAATTGAATTATAAAATCTTTTAGTTACGACTAGTGAAAACCTTTGCAGGTCAATATTAACAGAGATCTCTTGTAGAATTAGGTTTAAAAGGAATGGAGGCTCTTTATGACTGTAAATGTAAACCTTTTATAACAAACTTGAAACCAACAAGCAAGCATACATATTTTCTTATTAAATCATTTTTACACACTTCCTCTAAATAAGGCCTTCTGGTCTTGTATATCTTTCTTTACCTGTTTTTAACAAGACAAATATGCAAAAATCTTTCATGTCAAAAGTATATCTCTTATTTATAGCTTTCCTAATATTTTTCTGTCTCACTTACTATTAACCTTCTATAACAAACTTCACTTAAAGTGTCCCTTTTCTGTTCTCAGAGTGTTACATCTGAAAATTTGACTGGCTGCCCGTAGAACAGTATTAACCTTGAGTTTTTAGAAAAGAGTAAGTTAACCTTATAATCGCAATTTAAGAATGTGTAATGTACAAGAAGTGTTTTAAGCAAACCAAAGGGAGAGGCAATTGGACCTCTTCCAAAGGGTAAGCACATTTTCTGAGAGGTAAGTTTACCGAGTGAAAAACAGCAGATATGGCAAGCAGTGAGGTAGGGCCTGGAGGTTCAGTATCTTGGGATAACAGAAGACAAAAGGAAGATGTTGGAGTGTTGGAAGGGCTCGGCATAGAAAAATGAATGGACGCCGCCCCAATCTGGGATGAAATGTCACGACCCAATAAGGGAACGGGGCAGGATGGGAGGACTGGGAAGGAATGAAGGAATGAAAAGTCGCCAATTGTGCATGACAGTAGGGGAGTCTGTCCAGGGCGTTGTTTTTGACCTTCTACCCCAACAATAGAGGTCTGAGACAGGGAGGTAGGTCCCCAATATTCTCTCAATGCAGAAAAGCTGGCACCAGTGTCTAATAGGAAAACAATAGTCCCACCTGCCACAATCAAGGTCACCCTGGGCTCCTGGGTGGTGATCCGCATTGGGCCAGTTGAGTCAGGGCCTCTTCATAGCCCTTCAGCTGCCACCAGACCTACCAGGTCATCACTCAGGGGAGTGGTGGGGCCAGTGGCCCAATGGCAGGTGGACGCCAGGGGGCAGTCGGAACCCCAGTGTCCCTCTGTTGGCACCTAGGGCAGGCTTTGTAGGCACTCTGGGATTTGGGCACTCCCTGGCCCAGGGACCCTTTTGATTGCACTGGTAACCCCCTGAAGGGTCCCTTTCCTTGAGACAATTGTGGTCTGGCAGGACTGAAGGCTTGTGCCAATAGCTGGTATTTTTGGTGATCTTGAGATCATTACAGCCATGATAAACTTTGAAGGCTGTGGCCAGAACTTTTGCAGGGGGGAGTCAAAGGTCCCCTCTCAAGCCTTTTTGATTTGAGTCTAATGTCAGGGTAGCTCTGAGAAAAGAAGTGCATCATAATTAATCTCTGGCCATCGACAGACTCAGGGTCAAGCTTGGTATGTTGGCAGAGGCCATCAGTCAATCTTTGCAAGAAGGCAGATGGATTTTCATTTTTATACTGTATAATTTCATTAAGCCTCTCATAATTTATAGACTTCATAGTGGCACTGAGGAACACACGAAGGAGACAATATACCTGTCTCGAGCTTCAGTTCCCGCCTCAGTGTTGTAATCCGATCTGGGTCTCGTTCTGGTACCGCGAGAGCACCTACCGGATGGTGATTATTTGTCAGGTGTTCTTGATCTGAATGAGCACGGGCCTGATCCAGCACTCTTTTGCCTTCTTCAGGAGTTAAAGCATTGGTAAGAACAACAAAAAGATCATGATAGGTTAATTGATAAGACTGTGTCAAGAGTTGAAATTGTTTTACAAAGGTTGTTGGATCGGCAGTGAAAGAACCAAGTCTGGCTTGGATGAGGGCCAGTTCAGTCATGGGGAAGGGAGTATGAACAGGAAGATTCCCTCAACCCCTGCCACTTCACCCAAGGGCGCCATCGTGTGTCTCATATGAGACTTGGGTGGAATGAGAGGTGGGGTTGGAGCAGAGGGCAGAGCGAGATAGGAGGTGTTGAGGAAATAGGAGGAGTAGGAAGGACAAGAGGAGGAGTCAGATGGGGCAGGGGAAGGAGTGGGTTGGTTTCTTGGGGCCGGGTTCGGGAGAGGGTCATTGGCTGGGTCCAGTTGGTCTGAAGAGTTAAGAGAAAGGAGGGTGGCAGTGGAGGGACCGTGGGCTAGCAGAAGTGTGGGAGGAGGTGACAGAAGAGACAGTCTCCAGACAGTGGAACAAAGAGAGGGCTGTTTGCTAAGATAAGAAAAGCCCTGGACATATGGAATCTCCGACCATTTTCCTGGACACTCACAAAAGTTACATAGGTCTCGAATTAGACCAGGTTCAAGGGAGCCGTTAGGCGGCCAGACATTTTGATTATCTCATTGATATTGGGGCCAAATTTGAGTAGGTAAGCGAACTAGCCACTTGGGTTTTAGGTCAAGGCCTTCCAAATTCCTGAGTAAGCATCCCAAAGGAGAGTCCACGGGCGTGGAAGAGCCAGAGCCCATGACCACCAGGACAGTGGAGGAGGTTATCAGAAGTGCAGACATCTCTGAGAGTTCTGACGAGACCTCCCTTTTCAGACCAGTGTCTGAAAGAGTAGAGCTCAGTCT